GCAGCAAGCAAGCCTTGTGCTCGCTTCAGTGCCTGGCTGCCGGCCGCCATCTTGGCTGACAGTTAATTTGCATATACTCACTGATTAGCCAATGAAAAGGGTAGCGGTCGTACGCTAATTACCATGTTTCTCTTTTATTAGTGTAGATTACTGCTGCCATGACCCCAGGGTTCTGAAACAGGGTGATGGGCAGGGCCAGTGCTCAACCTATTGCCAAGTTCCTTGGCCATACCCCCCGGGTGACTTACAAAGTCACTGGAAGAAGCAGGCGTTCCTCTGTAGCCAACCTGGAGTGAAGGCTGGTGCCCACCAGGAGGGAGCCCCTTGAGCCTGGTGTATACATTTTCAGATCAGGAGGTTTTACATAAAGTTCTGGGTCTCTGGCTTCTCTTGCAACCTTGGGGGTCTGGTGCCATGAGGCCGGGTGACCTGCAGCTCTCGGCACTCCCTGGTGCCCCTGGCCCCCAGGCACATGATAGCACGACCCCCGAGTAACTCTGCTCTCCCCTCCCCTGCAGTCTCCACGACAGTTCTTTGCCAGAAGCTCATGCAAGTGGTCCCCCAGGAGACATAAGAGAGAGGAGCCGGGAAGCTGGCGGATGGAAAATACACAAAGATCATTTTAAAACAACTCACCCACCTAAAAGGCGACCCGTTCCATCATCCAGGCAGCTCAGCTGAGCGCCCCGCACTGTCCCTCCACCAGGTCAGGTGCCAGGGCCACTGTGAAAACTGGTACGAATTTAGTCCCAGAAGACGGACTTCTATCGATACCTCCTCCAGAGTGCGAGGCACGAATGTTGAACTGAGAAGAGGCTGCGCCTTCTGACAGACCGCGGACTTTTTCCATGTTGGGCCCTTGTCCTTTCCCACCTTTGTTTATTTGTGTTTTTTTCCTCCTTTTCTTTTGTATTATTTTTTAACTTAAATTTTGGGGTCAAGTTGACACCACCAAGATGATTATTTTTTAAAGAAATGGGGGAGGGCAGGTAGGGAGAATCGTGTCCCTTAACACTGCCAGCAGCGTGATGTGCCTCAGGGATCAGGTCCTGTCGTTGGGTGTGACCCCAGCACCAGCTTCAGGCGGAGGAGGGATTCTGAGAGCCGAACACTCCAGCAACATGGTGGATTCTATCTCCATGTCACCTGTGCCTGTGGTGGGCTCCGTCCCCATGCTATCCTGGGCACATGGTGAGTTATATCTCCATGTCACCTGTGCCTGTGGTGGGCTCTGTCCTGTGTTATCCTGGGCACATGGTGGGGCTTTGTTTCACTGTTAACTTGAGCTGGGGAGGGGCATGCAGTGTGGGCTGACCAGGTGGGGCCCTGGCTTGCCCTTCATCTGCAGTGTGTGGGCAGATGGCCAAGTCTGTGTGTAGACAAGCCCACCCATATGCAGAAGCAGGACATGGTCCTTGGAGCCGGGCTGGGCCGGGCTGGGCCGGGGGCGCCTCTGTGGCTGGTCTGCCCGTGCTGTGCAGACTGCATTCAGCCTCCTCACAAAGGCTCTCTGAGAAGGCAGATGTCCCTCACTTATTAGTGGGTGCCAGGGTCTTCCCAGAAATGCCCCCACCTTGGGTGACATTGGTGAATGGGTGCTGGGCTAGGGTTTCTGCCCTGTGATGTGGGAGCCAGCAAGGTCCACATGCCCTGACCTTGGGAAGCCTCGAGGGTTGTTTGCGTTTTCTGTCGGCATCTTCTGTGCTCTGGGTAATTACTGCCTGGCGCCTTGTGCTGAGGAAACGGAGAACAGGGGAAGGTTTCATGTCTCCAGAGTCCCCAGCCGGCAGGTCAGACTGGTAAATGCTGAAGAGGGAGACAGGCCTGAGTGACGGCTCCGGGAGGTCGGAGCCGTTCTTGGACCAGGTGGGAGGAATGGGCTTGGAGCAGGAGGCACAGGGTGTGCTGTGGGGGGTCCCATGGGAGCGCCTAAGTGGGCCTGATGGGGGAGATGACTCCATCGAGGTCAGGAGGGCGGTGGGGACGCAGCACTTTCCGCGGAGTGGACAGGACTGTGATGACAGGACGTGGGAGGTGTGGGAAGGGAGCAACAGATGCCCATCGCTCCGCCCTCTGTCCCCAGGTGAACCTGGCGCTCCCCGTGTTCTTCATCCTGGCCTGCCTGTTCCTGATCGCCGTCTCCTTCTGGAAGACCCCCATTGAGTGTGGCATTGGCTTTGCCATAATCCTCAGCGGCCTCCCGGTCTACTTCCTCGGGGTCCGGTGGCAAAACAAGCCCAAGTGGCTCCTCCAGGGCATTTGTGAGTATCTCCTCAGTGCAGCCCGACAGCTGGGGCCGCTCTCCTCCCTGCCGGTCCACCAGCGCCCCGCCCCAGCACGCTGTCTGCTGTCTCATCTAATCCCTTAGCCAGGCGTTCAGGCACTTGGCGTGTCTAGCAGTGACGTCTGGCCCATGTATTTCAGGGCTAAGACTCTCAGCTTGGCACCAGCTAATCTCAGAACAAGGGATTCCAGAAAACCAGGCTGCTTTTGCCAAGTAACAAAATCCCAGTGCTGTCGCCAGCCTAAGCACAAGGCTGACCCAGAAAGGCAGAGGCAGAGAAAGCAGGATCTCTGCACTGTGGTCACAGGGCCCACTAACCATCGCGTTTAGGAGCCCGTACTGAGGCCTCTCTCAATATGGCCGGCTCCTGGCACACTCGCTGGTGTTTGCAAGCCTGCACCCCAATCACCATGTCCTGGTGGCTCTCCAAATTCTGATTGCTACCTGCCCTGTGACTTTATGTGAAACCTCCTGATCTGAACATGTGAAACACTGTCAGTCATTTTCAGCAGGCCTTAGCCTCCAGGCCAGGCTAGACTCCCTAGTAATCATCTTGCAGAACACACCAGACCCTAATGCAAGCCCTGTGTCCTGAAATCACACCCCACAGAGTGTTCATCTGGGCCCCTGTCACACACCCGCCTGCTTCACTCCCTCTGTGGACTGCAGGCACGTGGCTGTCATCTGGCAGTGGGGGCAGCCTTGATTCTGGCCCTGGGTGTCTGCCAGGCGGTGGCCCAGGTGTGGATCCAATAGCTTGCTGCCCTGCCCGCTCCTGTAGCTCTCCACAGCTGGCTTGTACCTCGCTGGCCTACCCTCCTGCTGATCCGTGATCTGGTCCTGACGCACTTGGTCGTTACGCCTCAGGGCATAACAGCTATTTAACATGTTCCTCTCTTATTATATAGGACTAGAGGCCCAGTGCACAAAAATTTGTGCACTCGGGGGGCGGGGGAGGGGGGGTACCCCAGCCCGGCCTGTGCGGTGGCCCAGGTGTGGATACACGGGAAGGGCCCTCAGCATCGGGACTTATTATCCCACTAGTAGCCCTGCACACTCCTGTAGCTCCTCCCGCCCCTCTCCTCT